AGTATGTTATCAAGAGCGTATTAAGTATGTTATCAAGAGCGTATTAAGTATGCCCTTAATACTTATTACATTATACATTACATTATACATTACATATTTAACACGCTCTTGATGTTATGCATATGATGCACATTTACTGATAGGTTTGTGGAAAAACTCGATCTGTCCAACAACAGCATCTGCACGCTTCCTGAAAGCATGTGGCAGTGCCTTCCTCGTCTCCAGCAACTCGACATTTCGCGAAACAACCTCCACGAGCTGTCATCTGCCGTGTCTCTCTTCTGTAAAAAGTTACGCCTACTCAACCTCTCCTATAATATGGTAAGAACACATGAATGAAATGACAACATGAAGATATTGTTGATTACGTTCGTCTGTTTGTTATAATCAAATAAATGAAAAAGATATTTTTAACCAAACAAGAATTTAAACGTACCGTAAGCGTTTCGACATCTGTCAGATTATAACATAAAGATATTAGGGCATGCATGCGATGACCTCGGCCGACTGGTACTAGTATCTGGATTAGTAATGTAAGTAATAATGTAAAATTAAAGTAATGTATGGCATTCCAGGTGACATCTGAACGTCTGAGACTAACACACGTGATTGATGCCTTACAAGAACTCAATGTGTCACATAACGCACTACATATGTTCCCTCTGGAGGCAGTAACGAACTTTCCAAGCTTGCTCGTGCTGGATGTCTCTGGGTGTGTAATACAGCACGGAATTTATCTTTTGCGATCGAATTGAATCACATCCCTAAAATACATACATAAATACCTATATATATATATATATGTGTGTGTGTGTGTGTGTGCGTGCGTGCTTGTGTGCTTGCGCGCGCACGTGTGTATTTGCTGTAGGAATGCATATCGACTACTTGTGCGAGGTGATAGCTTTGGGCAGCTTAGTGCGTTCATCACCATAACGTGTTATACAGGAACACATTATGTTATACAGGAACAACATTGAGGAACTGCCATGTTGCCCAGGTAGCAGCGCACTGAAGATTCTTGACATTTCGCATAACGCGATCCGCGTTGTTCCGGAACACTTCCTGGTGGCGTTCACTGAGATAGAAACACTGCGCGCGGCAAACAATTGCTTAGGTGAGTGTACATGCTTACCTAGTCGAATTGTCCATGGCTTCTCTGCTGCTGCCTGGATGGTACCTCGTGCTACCTAGCTAGTTACTAATAGTTACCTAGGCAGTACTTGTTTGACGTACTTGCCCATTACCTACCGATTTCTATGAGAGCTATGCGAATACCTGCTCTTTTATTTAGCTAACTAGATATAAGGTATATATAAGAATATATATGTCTGCTAGGTGTGTGTGCTTGCGTGCTTTCGCGCGCGCGCTCGTGTGTGTACATGTATGTGTATGTGCGTGTGTGTGCATGTGTGTGCGTGCGCGTGTGCGTGCGTGCATGTGTGTACGTGTTCGTACGTGCATGTGTGTGCGTGTGCGTGCGTACGCGTGTGTGTGCGTGTGCGTGCGTGCGCGTACGTGTATGTGAACGTTAATTGCTAGCTCTAGTTGCCCGTCTGTAGCTGTAGCTTTCCTTGGGAAAAAAATTTCTCCAAAATGTGATTTTTGCGGATTTTGAATATGTTGTTCTGTGACACATCCTGCTCATCTGGTGTAAAAATATCTTTATACCATTTTTTTCCTGGTCAAAAGGCTCTACTCGCAGACTACAGTTGTAGCTGTGGTGTGAATGTTTGCAGAGAGTCTGCCGGACGGAGCTGCTGCCGAGATGTTCACAAAGCTGACTATAGCTAAAAGCATACTAGCTATACTAGCTGATAGCTAAAAGCATACTAGCTATACTAGCTGATAGCTAAAATCAACTCGACTCCTTGACGGTATCGCCGTCTAAAGAGGAAAACACTGAACTGTACTGTACTGTACTGTACTGTACTGTACTGTACTGTACTGTACTGTAGCTGTAGATGTAGTTGTTCGTCTGTAGCTGTACACTTGTAGTCTCTGTTGCAGAGAGTCTGCCGGACGGAGCTGCTGCCGAGATGTTCACGAAGCTGACGACACTGAAGCTCTCTCACAACGCGCTCACGTACAAGCCTCCGTTCTACATCAGTCGCTTCATCCTACAGCTTCCCTGCCTCTCCCTGCTCGACCTTGCTCACAACACACTCCAGGTGAGACTAGGCTAGTGGTGAAATCTCAGAAGGGGCCTTAAAATGGGTCTAACCCCTCCCCATCTTAGAACAAAACACAACCTATTTTTTTCTTCAAGGGGGATGTCCCTGTAGCTGGCGGCCATCTTGAATTTTTAAGTGGCTAATGGGCTTTTTTTTAAAGTAGTTCCATAGGAGTGTCCACGAAAATTTTGGTGCTTGTCTCACTATTTGAAAGATTATTTCACTAATCTGGTGGACTAGTAGCTGAACCTAGCACTCACTGTGTCGTTGCAGGGCATTCCTTCGCCTGGGAACTGGAGCTCGGCCTATATGCGACAGCTCAACTTCGCGCACAACGATATCAAACGCTTCGACCTGACCAACGTGGAGCGCTGGACATGGCTAGAGAAACTCGACGTCAGCCACAACAGTCTTGCTAACGTGAGAGCTCGAATGTAAACGCAAGCATGTTCGTACATGTGCCCGACATTTTTGTCGTAGAATGACACGGATTGACAAAACAACGTAATACTTAATATGATACTTATTATTTGATGTAATAATTGTAAACCTCAGGTGACCACTCTCTGTGTTAGTTCAGAGATGCTGGTGTCGTGAATGAAAATTTAAGGCATACATCTTGAAGTCACATTTTATAACTTTCGACTGTTCTCTTTCTCTCTGTTTCTCCATCTCTTTCCTTTGCGCCCTCTTTTTCTCTTTCTCTCGCCCTCTCTTTTTTCTCCCCCCTCTCTCTCTCTCTCTCTCTCTCTCTCTTTCGCGCCCTCCTCTCTTTCTCTCTCTCTATCTCTCTCGTACGCTCTCCTTCGTTCTAGCTCTATCTCACCTTCTCCTTTCTCGACGATATTAGATGCCATACTTGGATATATAATAAGATGTCGCAACTACATAGATTCATTTACTTCAGATCCCCGCGGGAATCGGCAAGCTGCGCTTCTTGTCCACTTTCAACATCAGTCACAACCGCGGCATCGAGGTGCTTCCAAACGAACTCGGTCAACTGACCAATCTCTGGGAGATGTCGCTAGAGGGCGTCTCGCTCGACATCGATAGGCGGTTGCTGCGCGGACGCACGAGGGACCTGGTGTCGTATTTACACGGACGTCTGAAGAAGGTGCTGGTGGGGTCAGGATGGGGCACTGCCGAGTTCTTTCGTGTGCGTGTACTCTCAACGTGAAATGCACTTTCGATCAATTCTTAGAAGCTGCTTTGGCGCATTAGACACAGCATAAGGGATGCTATATTATTATCAAGAGTGAATAATAATAGATTCTTCTTCTTCTATTATTAATATTAATCAATCTCTATTATTATTCGCTCCTGTTATTATTTAACTAGCGAATGATTTTATCAACAATGTTGGGTTTTATACGTGTGTGTTAACCTCCCAAAATTACAGCCCATGTTACTGATCACATATTACAGATCATACCAACATGTTCTGCTTGCATCTATGACAAATACGACATACGCATATACGCTCTCCTATGACACTATTTGTCATAGGAAGATTCTTCCTATGACAAATACGACATACGCATATACGCTCTCCTATGACACTATTTGTCATAGGAAGATTCTTCCTATGACAATTAAATATTGGCGAGTCAACTTCATTCTGCTTTACAGCTGAAATTCACTGCTTGCGTTCATAATAGCGCTCATAAACTCCTATAATGCGCACAACACATACAACAATATCTGTCATAGGAAGAATCTTCCTATGACAAATAGTGTCATAGGAGAGCGTATATGCGTATGTCGTATTTGTCATAGATGCAAGCAAAACAGGCTGATCATACATATGTGAAACTGTGAGGGTTTATCGTCTGTCCGTATGCATACATGTCGGCTGGTACTATCGCGTGTGAGAACGACATCTTACGTGCATTGCAGAGCGTGGGGTACTATGCGATGCGATTGGTGGTGCTGGGTGAGGCCGGAGCGGGAGGCGAGGCTTTAGTAAGGAGATTGGTTCACAGCAAGGACAGAAGAACAACCGAACCACGCAATGGCGTGAAGGTCTACGAATGGAGGTGAGTATTTGTTAAAGTGCGGGGGGCCGCAGAATGAATAAAAAGCAAAAAAAATAAAAAAAATAAAATAAAATAATAGCGACAACATCTGCGTCGTACACATGCTTTGCAGGTCCGTCCCAAGCTTTTCAAAAAGGTGGGTGGCATGACAGACATGAGTACTTAAAATTTTATGTGAAATAATGTGCGCGACGCGCACATCACGAGTGCGAAGTCCCTCACGGCCGAGGTCCAGGGCCCGCTTAAGGGCTCTGGAAGCTCAGGGGTTTTAGATACTCTCTGGTGAGCCTTATTTTGGAGCATTTTTGCACACAATTTATGACCAATATTTCAAAAATAATTTTGGTTGAGTCAAAAGTCATGAGTGATGAGTCAATCATGAGTGACTCATGAATTCCCGGGGTAGACTCTGGAATTACGCGGAACTGTGTCCGCACCCATCGCACCACCCCCTTTCGGACGGCCATGGTTTGTTTATATTAAAGGGTCCCATATCAAGACTATACTAACTGATATAAGCGCTACTAACTGGTCCAAGATTACAAGAAAAGGCTCGCTGGTAATCGAACTTGCACGTTCTGATGAATACGAAGTTTCTAATGCATTTTATCGTTACTCTAGACAGTTGCTGTTACCCGAGCATTAACGGTACGTAATTAAACGCTCCTAAAAGTGGGGGGGGGGGAACACTAAATAATTCTTGTAAATATGGCTTTAAAGGGTTCCATATGAAGAGAGAAAAGGCAGGAGAGTGACGTATAACATCAGCGTGTGGGAAGCAGGCGGCAGCAAGGAGCAGACGACAAATATCCACAGCAGCATTATCACGTGCAGATGCGTCGTCATGGTAACAACACATAAAACAAACATTGTCACCGTGGCAACGAGCAGTTGACTTCGATCTATAATCAGGAATCTCGTATATATACGTATTTGTGCTACGGTACAAATTATAACCTGCCTTTCGAGAAATTTCGCAATTTCAGATTGTGTAAACATTATCATATGCGCATGTACGTAGGTGCTGTTTGACCTCTCCAACACCAGTGTGGAGTCAGACGTCCTAGTCAGCTGGTTACGAGGCTATGAGACGAAAGGCACCAGATGTCCTGTCATCGTCGTTGGAACGCGACTCGACCAGCTCCCTTCTCACCAGAGGGAGACACTAGTAGCGCGATGGCGGGAGAGGATAGTACGGTTGAGTCGAGCAGGACGTAAGCAACGTCAATCCCAAACTCCACGACAGATGGCGCTCTCGCTCTGGCTCAATTCAGCTACTAATTCAGTGCGCCATCTGTCGCGCAGTTTGCGTCAATCCTCAACCCCTCGCTCCATTAATACTAATAATAGTGACCCTGCTGCAGATTTGTCTGATTTCCACATATATAGTTTAATTCCTGATCCAGTAATTCACATATTTTCAATCACCTTCTTACCGTCATTATATTTTAGATCGATTCGAGGCACGTATGGTACTTCTAGCCATGGTACTTCTATGGTACTTCTAGCCATGGTTATGGTTGCTTACTATCGGTAGCTTCTATGGTACTTTTATGG